TGGTCAGTCCCTTTCCTCAGAACTCATTTATTGTAGGGTTAAATGATTGTACTTAAAATGTACTCTCACCTGTAGTCGTTAGTTGTTTTAAAAAGTGTTAATTAAAAATAATATTCGATATGCTCTTCAAGAACTTCGCCCCAGTGAAGGAAAATTGCTTTGCTTACACTTTGGGAACTGGAGAGCTGCTTTCAGGAATGGCTAAGTTGAACTAGGTAAGTCTACACACACCGGAGGTATAGGTGGAGATATGAACGACAGCATCGGCCTCCTTGATAGCAGATTTAGAAAGATAACCTTTTTTCCTGGTTGTAGGGCTGGCCTGCGTATTGCCTATTTGGACTACCGTTTCCTTATCTCTGACCTGGGACTTACTGCAACTTTTTTATTTGGAGATCTGCTGATGAAAGTAACACGAAGTATTACTGTCACAGACTCAGATAAATTTAACATTGGCTTTTAAAACGATATGGCATTTTAATTCCCAAAAAGCTGGTAAACCTGGAAGAAATGCATAGAGTTAAGTTAGCAGCTGCAGAAAGCTTCCCTAATAAAACATTTGCTCTTCACTAAAGCCTCATCAGTGAATATGTTTTGATGTGATACACGTTAATTCTTTTGATCCCCTCTTTTCAGGAAAAACTACAGTATTTAGATGTGAAAAAGATGGGTGGAGGAAGAGGAGGGAGACAAATTTCTTTTGAAGTTATTCTTTGCTCTTAAGTTCAGCACTTTAATAATTTGGATTGATGCTTTTGTACTTGTCTGAAGCTGGCTCTTTCTTGCACTGTGCCTTTCACAGAACAGGTGGAAAAACTGAGTGGACCGTTAGAGGTCAGCATTTGTACTCAGGAAGTGTCATGGTGACCAGTAAAAGCATCTAGCTTCTTCTGGACTTGGAAGGGTATTAAGATGGAAAAGGACTTAAAAAGTTCTATGAGTCTTGCATTACAGAGCTGCGCTCTGGGTGTACTGTTGAGAGAAGAATTACTGAGTAATTTTCCTTTCTCTCTGTTGCTTAATACCTGTAATCCAGTAGTTCAATTACGGTTTCTGTGATTTACTTAGGAGTGATACGGAGACGGTATTCTGTCACCGCTGCAGTTGGTTTGTGTTCTCTATTTTGTCTGTCACATCCTTCGCGGTGACCTGGAGCTTGACTGGTTTTTGTAATAATAAGCATGTTTTCCATACAAAATATGTAAATGATAGCAATAGTAGAAGTTACTCAAGTGAAGGAGTATGAAATTCTGGAGACAAAACTGTTTCTAAAGTTTGTACAGGTCCCAAATTACTTCAGCCATTCTATACTGATCTGATCTTGATGCATTAGACTCCTAAAAGCATGCATGGAGCTTTTGGGGGAGCGGGCTGGGGTTTCGGTGGTGGTGGTGGAGCTTAGTAGCCCCACTGCTAACCCACAATGTTTCACTCCTCACAAACTTATTAAAGGTACCAGGGGAGAATAGATATCTTTGTGGATCTCACTCACACAAGTTGAACTTACTTTATAATCAGCTTGAACTAGTTGGTAACAATTGAAAAGTCAATGAACCAAAGCGTTTCTTAATTAGGCAGTCTTTAGGCTAACTGAAGTAAAACTCAAATATCCTAGTGATTCATTCGTTCTCAAGATAAACTGTGCATTCTTTATGTTAATCAAATTACATTATAAATTGGTGGACAACTGAATTTGGCAAGACTTCACAGACTAAGTTTTCTTGGTTTGTATGGAAAATATGATAATATTACCAATTCATAAAACAGAAAACCATCTGAAGATTCAGAAAGTGTTTTTGGCCATTCCTCAAGGGAGCTTTCCTTGGTTCACCTCTTTCAATTTGTTTTCAGTCTGTTGCTTTTCAAAGTACTTCCAGAATGCATAAAAAATTACTGTTCATTTATGTTGCTGTATGCCAAAATGATACTTAGCAAAATATTCTCAAAAGTGGGGAATATCCAGTACAGAAGTGATGGATAATTCTAATCCTCCAGTTCTTACAATTTGTCTGTTTTAAATACACTGAGTTATGAAAAGCATTCTTCAAAAAGATTATTGCCTCTTCAGTGAACACTTGTGGGACTGTAAAATAACTGATCAGCTTTAAGTCAGTAAGTGAAAGTGAGTGTTCTTGTTTTATATATATAATTAGACATCTTGATGATTGAACTGTAGGCATTTATGTTTTCCCTAAATGCAGTCCCATTTGTTTTCATTCATATTTGTTCTCTTCTCAAGAAAAAGTCTGTACATGATGATTTCTTCCTGTCCTCCTGCGTCCTGAAGGCAGACAAAATTTGGGTGTACCTTGGCTATATCTACACTGTTGAAGATATTTACCCCATAGAGTAATCCCTGCCTCCACACAGGGCTAGGTTAACACCTCTGGATGTGGTGTGCCTCTAACACCGATGCGCCCACTCCAGAAGTCCAGGACTCCTCTGGATGCCACCTGTGGTCCTGTGGCCCTGGGACAGACTTGCATCCAAGTAACAGATGAGGTTGCTTGAATTCCCACCAGTTTGTTTTATTCGGTATGTTGTTATGAGCAGAACAGGGAACACATCTTAGATGCAGAGCCAACAATTGATTGTTAGTCTAATTAAAATCTTAACAGTCTAATCAAAGCCTTAGTATTAGTCCAGATACTAACACAGGTCAAGTTATATACGGTTACAATGATATAGGCACAAACTCTAGTACCAAACCCTTTCCCTGGTGTTATCTTCAGCCGCCCACTCTCCCTCTGGGACTTGACTGGCTTCAACTGGGAGGGGGAAGTCTTTACGGCAAGTCATCAGCATCCCAAATCCTTCCCTGGCAGGAGGGAGGATGGTGATGATTTCTTCCTCCTTGCCTTGGGTCCATTTAGGATCATTTTTATATGCTTGTTAACACACTGCACACCTTGCTCTTTGTTCTATTCTGTTCTGTTCTATTCTATTCTATACATTGATTCATGATTCCACATTACATCTGAATTTACTACGTGGTGTGTTTTACATATGTTGAGTACTTGTTCTTTGTTCTATATGTTGCCTGTAAAACTGGTTTTACCCAGCTCCCAAGACTGCATCCCGTTGATGACCAGTAATTAAGCACAGGTGAGCTGTTCTAGCTTAGGGCCCCAGTATTGTCCTGTGTTTGTGCTTTCAGGCCCCTGCAGTCACCCCATGCCCGTACTCCTCTATGCTGCGTTTTTGCAAGGGTTGTAGATAGTTCGCTCTGCACAGAATAACTACTTGTTACTGCTGTCTGTTATTTAGAAACATAAATGTAACACAAGGTGCTAGACAGTTGTACAAAGCTAAGCAAAAAGCTAAAACAAATTGGGTAAGTTCCCTGGTTGTTAACTAATTTTGTTGCAGCTAAATAATCTATAGCAAAGCTCCAGGCACCCAAGATGAGTTCAAAGTCTGACAAGTTTTGTGGCCCGTGTTGTCAGCTGGAAATGAAGCCTTTGGCTTCAGTGACAACACCACACTTTGTGTGGGTTACAAATGCAACTACTGTTTTTAATGTTGTTTTCAGTCAGCATGACTTATAATATGAGGTCTGTGTTACAGCCCTCCAGAGTACTATTTTTGTATTTTATATTATTTTAGTATTTTAATATAAAAGTTTGTATTTTTTTAAATATTTTTTGCATTCCCTGAGATTCTGTCCTGTGGAAACAGAACTGATGCAGTCTTGCCTGTGCAACAGGTTGTCCCCCAAATTCTGCCTGTGTGTCAGTTTGGGCTTGGTTTGCTCTTCAAGGAGCAAAATAACATACATTCTGCGCAGATGTTTGTGAGGCCAGGACTTGGGAGTGGAGCTGTTTGGGAGTAGGGATGCACCCTGATATGTTCTAATATTCTTACATGATCTTAGTTTTGCGCTCATGAACATCTCTGGGGGTCTTCGTTGCACTTAAAGACAAACAAGATAATACAATTGTGGTTAGGGATATATTTTTGAAATATCTTTAATAACTGCATTATTTCAGAAGAAAAAAGGTCAGTCATTACTGATCTTTGAATGTTCGCAATAACTGATACCTTCCAGCCAATCTCTAGGACAAGTGATCTCAAGCATAGCTTGTCTTCTTTCTGGGCTTTGCAGTGCAATTTTAGTTTTCATCAGGATCCTCTCTGACATAAGTTTTAGGCATGTAATGTATTTGAACCACTTTGAAAATATTTAGGTGCTTAAAAGACATTGTTTTGGAAAGTTACTCCCTAAGTAAAGAAAATCACCCTCTTCCAAATAATTTAGTATTTATTTCCCAGCAGCTTCCCAGTTTAGAAATCTGTTGGGATATTTATTCCTCTAATTCCTTCTGTATAGATTATGAGGGCAAATGGATTCCAGTCCCTGGAGACTTGTGTGTGTAACACGCTGGAGTTGTGCTAACAGTGAACCGGGCCAGAAAGCCCAGAATTGTGATGAAACCTGTCTTGGCAGCTGACACTTCTGTTCTCCTTGGCTATGCATGTATAGACAGTGGAATAGAAGGCCGAGAAGCATGTTAAGTTTATTTTATTGGGAAATAATACAGTGAAAAATTTACAGCTCATTTGCAGGTATGTTGTATGCCCTGCAGCGTAGAAGAGTTTTGATTGAAAGCTGCTCAATTTTTTGTGTGTAGTTTGCTTTACCATTTAGAAATGGGCTAGGAGCTTTTGTCATTCAACAGGCAGAACTGATGGGCTCTGATGCAAGTCCTATTTATTCACGCATTAGAGGCCTGATGTCCTGAAGTTGGACTGAAGGGAGATAGATGGTGAAATAAGCTTGAGAGCTGTGAATAGTGGTGAGAGGGACAAAAGACATGGGAGGCTGAGCGTAGTCAGTAAAATACTTGCTAAACTGATAGGAAAATTCTTTTGACTGAAAAGGTGAGGAAAATTTTGGATGTATTTGCTCCATTATATTCTCAGGTAGTGTCTCAAAAAATGCAAAATAAGGTGATTTTACCTTGAGATTAGGGGATTTTTCCGTTTCCATTAGAAGACAGGCTGCAGGAGCAGCCCTGCTCGTTTTATACCTGCTGCAGAGATAACATTTACCATATACCAGCAGTGTGGTCTCTCTTGTCAGATGTGAAAAACCCAGAAGGCTATATTTGCATTTTCCTATAAAGCACATGACACAAGTGTGTGTGCTCCTGCCAGTTCTTGAAGGCATGAAACACTAGATGTTGTAGGGTACAAGAGTACTTCCCACGACAAAGACTGTGATACATAGGTACAGTCTCATTAGTGGTTAGGGACAGAATGTCCTCCAGACAAACGGGACAACTCATTTTCAAGCCCATTATTTAACATCATTGGAGTGTCAAAAATTGAGATATGGAAGATTTAGTCAAATTCTACAAATGTCTCAATTCTAGTCACATGAATAAGTTGTTAATTTATTTGGTTAAAAAGTTTTAAAATATGTTTAAATTATTTTCCTGAATAGCATCAAGCTTTCTGTTTTCTGTTTTGTTTTCCAAATGCTTCTTTTCCCCTCTCTCTAACCTGGGAGTAATTTCTTACTCTAGATTTAGCTGTGTTGCTTTTCTGATTTCTCTTTTGCGGATGAAGTGCCTCAAACTACTGAGTGTAATACTAGTAGCATTCCTAGAGTGGTCTGTCACATTTAATATAAATAATAAGGCATAAGGTGGCATAAGGTTATAGGAATCCTGAATAAGTTTACAGGGTTTTTTTACCTTTCTTTCTTAACTAAACAGCAAAGCCATTCTCACTTTTTCCCTCTCTCTAAACTGTTACAGAAAAAATGCATTCTGAATGATAACTACTGCTCGCTGAACTGAACTGCAAATATCTCATGCTTTGGAGATGAAGATGGTAAATCCAAGGAAATAATCCAGCTGCTGCCATTGTGACAACTGAAAGGTCCTTTGTGTCAAAATGAACAGTCTTTGAGAAAAATCTGGAAGGCAGTTAAATCTGAAAAATGGGAGAAAGAGTAAGGAGCCCAGATTCTGAACACGACAGGAAATCAGATGGGGATAAAAATAGTGACTCCTATTATTCAGATGAAGATAATGCATCTCATTCATCTGGCCAGTCGCCAACACTAAGCTATCCATCTACAAGCCAAGAAAAAAGAGATCACAAAACACAAACTTCAAACAGCCTTGTACACTACCAAGGTAGGTAGATAGCAGAAATGGCTGCTTTGTAACTGCTCTAAAGAGTTAATTATCTCTGAAAGCTGAAATAAAAGTGGGAAACTACCATTATGAGGATCTACAAATAAGGTTCATGTGAATTATGCTACAGATGGCAGGTAGACAGTAACTGCTCTGTTGAAAACTGAAATTAACCTGTTCCTGCATAAGGAGGATTTTTGGTGGTTTTCAGAATTATTCATATTTTTCTTAACAAGTGAACGTGGCTTTTATACTAGCCTTTTGTTGAATCATGCTGATGCTATCTTTTGTCTTTGATGAAAAGACTCGAGGCCAAGGACTCAAGGCAAGTCCTTATTATGCAGTCAGTAAAAGAGAGACAATTGTTAAAATTTCTCTGACAAAATACCCCTAAAGATATCTCTTTTGTGGAAGTCTAGTTGACTAAGCTTTACAGTGTAATACTGGGTACTTTCAAAAAACAAACAAATGAAAGACCACTAATGTGGCAAGAGAGAGAAAATGTGTTTGGTGAAAGTTAGGTGCATGCGGAAATTGAAAAGAAAGTTTTTCCTGGTCCTTCCTTGAGGGTAAAACATCTCAAATTTGAGATGAAATAACTCCACTTTGAGCTCCCTCACACACACCTCACCTGCATAAGCTGCTTTCTTGGTTGAGATTGTAGGGAAGTGAACATCCCTACAAAAAGGGAGAGAATGGTTATACAGGTCCTGTGCTGAAGTAGGGATGTGAAGCCTCTCTGCCACACTTTGACAGCTTGTTGGAAAGAATTGCACACATTTTCTGGTGAAGTCAGAGCATATCCTGCCTTTCTCAAGCAAGTGCTCTATTTCATTCGTAAGTGCTTGATACCGTGTGAATCATTGGTCAACACTATGATCTGGAGTGTGCCAGAAGATCTAACCGTAAATATTGAAGTTGCCCAGGGAGCATATCTCTTCAGATCCTTGACAGGGTTGGTGTCCTGGTGCAACTGGTGTTTTGCCGAGCTTCTCTGTGTTCAGAAGTGGCATCTTCTCCATAGCAGTCATGGGTTAGCTTTCTGGGAAACAAAAGCTGCAGTTCCACTGTGCTATTTAATTTGGAGGGGGCAAATGAATGACTAGTTCTTTGATTACATAGCCAGAATTGAACATAATTATTGCGTGCAGGTATTGTGAATGTCATGTTCTCAAAAGACACTATTCCCCAATTTAACTACATGGTCAAAAGTGCAAACTTGGTGTTGGAAATTTCTGTTCTGCCCTAAATGTGGAGAAATTCTTGAAGGGGCTGGAAGTCTAGGGTTAATGGGAATTCCCTTAGTTGGTTATAGGAGTGGCATCATTCCTGCAGTGCATGTATTGGATAATCTTTTCACACCTGAATGTGACATAAGTGTTCTTTGTAAAGGGAAAAAAACCCTCCTTTTGTTTGCCCAAGCTGTGGAAAAAATGAGCATCAAGCAGAAAATGAATGAGTATTTGTGCAAAATGTTTAGAGGAAATAATAAGAAAATATTTTAAAGCTGTTGGTTTTGCTGTAAAATATTCTCTGTAGAATAGAAACATGGTCAGCGCCAAAGGGGAGGAAGAATTTGCTGTCACACACACTCAGCTGTCTGTGTATAGGTAACTGCACTATTGCTGTACCCCAGCTTTCAAGCCTGAATTACAAGCTGCTGCTCAGTATGTTGCTTCCGAACACTGATGTACTTAATGAATTATGCACTCTCTATATATTCAGTTATTTTAAGAGATATTTTTGGTGGATTGTATGCTTCATTCTGTGAGTGTGGCTTGAGAGGCAAATAAGATAGAAATAAAATGTTTACCTTTTATCTATGGGGATGATAATAAAATAATAATATCAAATAGGAATGCGAGTGATGCATACTAGTAATCAGCTAAGGATATTGTGTGGAAAATAACTTGTGATACAAGAATAAATTATTCAGGGGAAAACCGAATTTTCATGGGATTTATAATTTTGCTTTGGAGGCTTTTTGCTTTGAGCCTTTGAAATTTGCTGTTTTGTCTGTAAGCGTGGCAGCTGGATTTGAAAACACTACTGCATTTGTCTGAGAGAATTACATATTGCATAATACATAACTAGCTAACGCTCAGCTAATTGTTGTCATTTTAAAAGTATTTGATAATATTGTATGCATAAGAGCACAGTATTTCTAGAACATTTTAGTAAACATCATCAAATATTAACAAAATATGACACATATTTCTGATACAATTTGCAGATGATTACTTTACAATGGTCCTATATTGATGGCTGCAAATATTACCTCTTACAGTAGATCACAAACATAAATCTCCATTTTTTAATCTATCAAAAGGAGCATAAGTCTATCATATATATGCCTTTTATTGTCTGGTTTGAAAGCTGCAATCTCTGCTAAGTATTGTAAAATTGTTTCAGGCAGAGCTTTATTCCAAGAAGGATGTCTGAATAGACAAACTGCATTGTCTTATAGTAAACATGCTTTTTATTTTTCCTCTCTTAGCCACAAAGAAATTGGGTTCCAAATATGCACCAAGCAAAAGAGGGACGCGGTGGGGTTTCCGTTCTCAGAGCCTCACTAGAGATTCTCCTGCAAAAGATATAGATCTTGTTACAAAAAGAGTTCTTTCTGCCAGGCTGCTGAAAATCAACGAGCTCCGAAATGAACTGAGCGAACTCCACATCAAACTAGATGAGCTGCAGAAGGAAAACAGGGCACTGAAGAGGCTTCAGCACAGGCAGGAGAAAGCCTTGAATAAGTTTGAAGATACAGAAAACGAAATCTCTCAGCTCCTTGCTCGGCACAGCAATGAGATTAGAATATTAAGGGAGCGCCTACGAAAATCTCAAGAGAGAGAACGTGCAACTGAGAGACGGCTGAAAGATTCGGAAGATGAACTGTACAGAACAAAAACTGTCTTGCAGAAACTGAAAAAGCTGTCTGCAGATAAGCACCTTGCTGAAAGAGATGACCTGGCAAAGAAACTAGCCTATGCAGAGAACAGGCTAGAGGACAGTGAAAAAAGAATTAAGGTGAGATTACTTTCTTTTTGTAAGAAATTCTGGTACAGATATTTCTTACCATAATGAGCTTCATGAATTGTGTTTTTTCACAGTTGTGGAGCAAATAGAAAATCATTCTTTTTTTTTTTTAATGCGTAAGTAGCATCAAGTAAATTATTTCCAACGTGATTATATAGTTACATTCCTGGTAGCTATGCATTCAAATCTCTGTTTACAAATTAAGTATATTTTGTCAGAATATATACTGTGGACTTGTGCTTTTAAGTGCTTTTATAACTAGTAATAACGTTTCAGAAATGCATGCAGCTGTAATAGAACTTTATGCAATCTAATTTATCCTCTTGGAGGGGAAGCATTTGTTAGAAATTTTCTGGGTATTTAGGGAACTGTATACTAAAATTCTAAAAGCCATATGTATAGTAATTCTATTTCAATTTTGTGAACTGCATTCATGCAGTGTTTGATTGTCCACTCTTCTGTACATCTGAGAGCTCAGCTGAACAAAATTACAGCAATTTTTTTAACACCAGAATGAGGTTTAGAACATTTTACAGGTATCCATTTTAAGAATTTTGTGCAATATATTTTAATTTTGTTCAGAAAAAATGTTTACATTTTTGTAAACATGTCTAAAAACTCATTTAAAAATAATTGTGTTAACACTGTTAAACTGTTGGCAGTTGTATGCAATACTATTTTTAGCTGAAATTATGTTGGTCATTAAAACGGTGTTAAAGTTTGGTGTCTGTATTAGTAATTAAACCTAAATTATATTACAGAGATAATAGATCTGGAAATCCAAAAGATTAAGCTGGAAACTCAGCTTTCATAAAATAAATCCCAAAATACCAAGATATAAACTGCTGAGTTACCCAAATCACCTCACCCTGTAGTGTCACCGTCTGGCATCTGTAGTTTTATGATCAGGTATTTCAGCATATGTAGTACTGGGTAATGTTAAAATGAATCATGCTCTAAAAAGGAAAGGATTTTCTTCTACTTTTTTCCTTCTCTCATCTTCACAGGTTCACTTAAAACAGCTATTGCAAGGCAAGGGTATGTAAATGAAATCACAATCACAAATTTGTTCCTAGTACAAAGGTTAAAAATTATTTCTTGTCTTCTTCCTTCTTAATCCTGCGCTTTCAGGGAGGTATTCTGTTTCTTAACCATCAGTTTGAGATTTGTCTTAAGAGATCCGGAGGTCCACTGTGCCAAGAGCCTTGCAGAAAGTAGTGTGTGTTCCCATTGTGTCCTCAAATCACCTCTCAATACTCCAGAAGGATGAGCTGCAGCATCTGCAGGTGCTCTGTCTGCCCCCTCAAAGTTAGGATTACGGGTTTAAATGTATTCAGTGTTACAGCAGTGGTGGAGCCAATATCTGAATCCAAGATGCTGGTTTACTGTAATTTTACTTAAGTTATTTGACTATAAAAAAGGTACTTCAGTTATTAAAAAACATTATTTTGTTTTTGAAGGATCTGGAAAAAAATCTTGAATTAAGTGGTAGCAGTTTTCAACGAGAGTTACATTCAAAGAAAAAAAAGATGTATGAGGCTCAAGAAGAAAACAGAGTTCTGCAAGAAGAGCTTAATCAACTAAATCAGAAGCTGAAGGTAAAATGTGAAGCAATACAAGTCGCTAACCATGTTCTGGCATTTTATCTTTGGAAGTATCTGTAATCAGGTTTGAATAGTTTACCAGTGACTGCACTCTCTGATGTGTACTTAATTATGTACCACATGTGAGCTCTTTTCCTGCTTTAAATCGAAATGTTCTGTGCTCTGACCCTACAGTGTTTGTAACAGGAATGTCTCTATGTTAATCATTATTGTTAGCACTAGTTAAGAAAAGCAAGATCAAGTACATAGCCAAGCGTTGCGATTAAACCACAAGATCTACTGGAAAATTACGTTTTGAAGGCTTGATTTTTAAAATTAAATCTGCAGATATATACAGTATTTTATGTCACTAATGTACTTGCATTACAGTAGATTTGTATAAAGATTAATTTCATGTATTTGTGATATCCATGTGTGTTGCTAAATTTGTGCAAAGGTTTATTTGCATCCCCCCACCCCATCATTGCCCAAATTCTAAATTCAAGGACTGAAAATATTGTTGTGTTCTACCTAGTCAGAAAAAAAGATTAAATAAGACTTGAGCTGAAGTACTTAGTTTCTAGAAGAATTTCCTCGAAACCCCAAGTCTCAAACATACTTTTATAATGGAGATGTACCAGTTTATCACCGTACTAGCTATCAAGCAAGTAGCAGTACCGTTAGTAACTCAAAAACTTATTTGTTTAGTAAGTGTTTTAAGCCTGATTTGTTAGTGCAGAGTTCGATATTTTGAAAATATTTTCATTATCAGATGATTTCTGATAATTCACTGTTCATGTCTGTATTTTATTCAATAAATGTCATTAAAGAAGAATATGTCTCTTCCTCTATGATGCAGTGGGCCTCTGTTCCGTGGTACTGACATGCCCCGTGACAAGTAACATTGCTAGCACTGAAATGTTTAACTCTTTACAATACTGAAAATTCAGTTGTGCAATCTGTACGTACATTGTAAGTCTTATTCAGGTTTATAGAAGCATTGGCATTTAGTTTAATTTTCACTGCAGAGGTGCTTCCCCCCCCTCACCCCCTGAATATTTTGCTAATTAGTTTTTTGGAGGGGGAAGTTCTATCTGCTTTCTTATAGCATAAGCAAACTTAGGAATGTGATTGTTCTCCTTAAAACATTGGATGTAACTATTCATTACTCTGTTTCTATTTACAACATGTATTTTTTAATTTAATTTACAGCTTTGCTGTAAATGAAATGTTAGTAACTCATTGTTATACCTACCTCTTTCATTCACAGGAAAAAGAAAGGGAACTTGAAGCAAAAAATATATACGCTAATCGTATGTTGAAGCTATCGCCAAGAAAAGACATGGATGTTATACAAAGAAAAAGAGGTAAATTATATAAAGCAATAAAGGCAGAAAAATTAATAGTGACACTTTTAAATTACTCTGCTAGGTTGTATCATTCATGCCATTCAGTGTTTGACCCTGCCGCTGCTTGTTCAAGAATGTTTACTTTTCTGCACTGCTTTCAACACAGCACTGGTTACGAAGAAGGGCGCGTTGTTTGACTGTTCTGTAACTGCAGCAGAACCAAAACCCAGAACTTCGTCAAACCGCGTTCTTAACTCCTTTCTTACCAGATGTTCCCGGGTGAAGGAGGAGGGGAAGATTTTTTAGTAAATTCTCTAATAGATCATAGATAACATCTACATGACAATAAATTACAGAGGTTTTAAAAATACGGAAGTTCACTGCTATGAATATTTTGGTGATTTTTTTTATTTATTTTTTACTAATTCAAATTTACTGTCTGTCAGATAAGCTGCACTTTTATTTCCTCAAAGAGTACATACGTCCCAGAACATAATCTTCTAAAAGTACCAGTGCAGTGATTTCTTCTAGTGTGACAAGGCAGCCTCAAGCCTTATGGTACCCACATAAATATGTGTGTATATATGTGTGTCTGTGTGTGTACTTAGACTATTTTCACTGGATCAGTAGAACCTGCTTGTCAGAAGAAGCAGGAATTTATGGGACTGTTTTAAATATTTAATGCCAGCATTTCAAACAGTTTGTCTGCTGCTCATTTTATTATAGATACTCTACTATTATTCCATTTCAGGTTCAGATTTTTAAAAATATCATTCCATAGAGATAAATGTATGTGTTTCAAAGATGCAAATAAGTTAATTTTAATTTTATGTGTTTGCTTCTCTACACGTAGCTTCTGTGACAAGCAGTAAGATGAGTGAAATATATTGTGGGGATTTTTTAACAAATATTCAGTATACTGTAATGACTTCATAAGTAGCTTTAGGATGGGGGGGTTATTTTTTTTCAGTAGAAGTTTTGCATGCAATTTTTTTTTAATTAGCTTTTACAGATGCTGAAAACAGCTATGTGAAACTTATCAATAGTTTCCACTTCCATTGGCTCTGATACAGTCTTTTATGTTTGCTGCAAATCATTAAAAATTAGATAGGTATATAGTGGGATATTTTCAAGTGAAAACATGATTTAATTAGTTTGTATTTTCTACAGCCAACAACCAAAATATTAAAAAAGGAGCACAGCTCACAAAAGGTGTACAGACCAGTGGATACTTCTCACCAGTAGAATTTCTTCCAGAATCAGAACTTGTCTGTGGCGACACAGTAAACAAGAAAGAAGGGATTCTTCCTAAAACAGTGAGTTCCATAAAAATTTGAGACTTGCTCTAGATAACTCACCTATCAGACTGAATGTTTAATGCAGAGCTTATATTTTAGAAAATATGTGTAAATAGACAAATATATAGAAAATATAATTTAGAAAACATTCTGATCTTTAAGAGAAACTCTACCCTTCCAGAAATCTCATACTGCATTTTTGTGACACTGAGTTCATCATATTCTGTGTCTTACTGATAACCATTAGCTCAATTTGTTTCTTTTTCTGCCACTGTCATTTCTTTGAAGTTTTTAAGACTTCATTTTGGTTTTCTCCCCTTTTTCTTTATTTCTAATGCTTATTTGAGCAATCTGTTGTAACAGTGCTGGCTGCCTCGTCTCTCTTTTTGCTTTGGCCTTAATTATGGTTTCTTTTACGTTCCAGATATTTCACAATGCATAAATCTAATACTTCCTCTTATTGTCATAGTGCTGGTATTTCTTCTGTCGTTTTTCCAGCTTTGTGAATATGGTTGGATTTTTTTGTTTGTTTTTCCCATTTCCCTTTTTATTATAAAATAGTGCCGTTAGAAGTATTGCTAATAATTCTGTGACCTCAAGCTAAAATCAAAGAGATTTGTTAGGTATTGCAAATCAGAATGACACAGATTCTGGTACAAACTGTATAAATTCTGATTACATAAGACTAGGACTATTTGTCAGAAATAATGCTCTCGTGATGGTCTTGACTGGCTTCCTGGTAGGACTGAAGCTTTTTCATGGCTGTTTCATTCATATCCTCTCTCTTCCAAAATCCTTTCTGTAAGCGTGGATGTAGTTCAATGTGTGCATTCTTCCAGCATATACTTCGGTGTGTGAGTTACAGAACCGCACAGTTGGTACAAGTGCAGCTCATGGAGTCCAACTACATGTCATCTTACAAACCTCTCTAGTTTGTGTATGGCTATTGCTTTAAGTAACATAAATTAGATTTAGGTAGCCTGTGCTTTCATCAGTTTTCTAAGTCAAGCACTTTAAATACTTGGCCGCCATCTCTTTATGAAGTTTATTTTTTTTTTAAATATAATAATGATAATGTTGTACATTAAGGGAAAATATTTGTTTTGGCTAATATTCGTATTTTCTTTGTTCATTAAGTAGTAACTGTTTCTCTTAGAAGTGTATTTTAATCTAGAAGCTTATTTTGCTCTAAAATAAGCACAAACTACAAAGTTAGCATCCACTTGTTGGATTACGCTGGCTTTCTCATCACTTCATTGCCACTACTTTTCTGTGTTAGTGATTTTTACTGCTGACATTAGTATCTTTTCTGCAGATTCTTTCCTTTCAAATGTGTATGTATACTCCCTAGCTGAATTTTTCAGCCGAGGTTAAATCTTTCTCTTTCACTGTTTGTTACTTAATACTCCATAACTTTAAGTACCACCGTGAAACTGTCTGAATCTACAACCCACTTACTTGAGTAAAAAGATCAGATTGTGGAAATAGAGGGTAACTAGTTGCTTGCTTGTTAAAAGAATAAGGTGGTGGGGTGTGGCCTTCTATTAAAGTCCTTGAAAAAGACAAATTCTGACTTCTAAAGAGAACTACCCTAACACAGTGATAATTTTGCTTTATGACATTGGAGCTGCAACCTTCCTGAAATGTGTAATACAGAATAGAGTTGACTGTCTATTCATTTTGTTTCAGGTGCATAAAACTATGTTAGGGGTGATAAGATTTTAGGGCCAAACCCCTGGGTTGTCAAAGCTGGTTTGGTTTAGATGGCTTGCTCGTTTTTATGTTTAGCAGTAAGAATGTGACTTCAGGATGACATAGAAGTTCATATGATTTCGTTTGTTTGTTTCTTTTATTGATTATTTTTCCCCATCAGTTTCAATCTTGTATTAATTTATTTCAGGAAAAAGAAACTCAAGACAAAGGATGGAAAGAGCAAGCAGACCTCCTAAGACAAGACCAAGACAGGGAAAGGGAAGAGAAATTGAAACATTTTCAAGAAATACAGGCTTTAGAGGAGAGGGTTCAAAAACTACATGATGGTAAGGAAACGGGCAGCTAGCTGAAGGCTGGAAAATACACCATAGAATACTAATCAAGTGAGGCTGCTAGTTTCTTGTCAGAAGAGCAAATGATTTTGCAGAGATCACTACAGTGGAAAATTATTTTCAGTTATATTATGCAAAGAGAATCAGAAAGAAATACGGGATATAGAATAATCCGTACTCAGCTGTGATTAAGTATGCAGCAGCAAAAAATGCTGTCCACGGAAAATTATTGAAGCCTGAGAGATTCTGCTTTACAAAACAAGGATGACATAGCAGGTAAATGCTGATGTTATCTCTGACTTGCTAGGTGTTATTGAGGTAGCCAGTAGATTTTTACAATTGGAGAATGAATCTGCTTTCCTTAATATGGCCTGTTTTTTCAGTACATATCTACTTCACTTGTATCATTTGAAATTATAGTTTCTCTTTTCACTTGTGGTTATCTGAATCATTTGGTGTGGCTATTTGAGAAATGTCAGTTTCTAAAAAAGCAATATTAAAATATAACGATATTCATGTGGTTTTCACAACATCTTAATGACTTACTTTAGATTAAGAGACTTATGAATGTATTTTAGGTGGACTGCATCCTGTCATCTTAAAATACTTTTTCAGTGATTATAGTTAATGAACAGTAACACTTATTCTAGATGACAAGGAAGAATTCTAAAAATCTGTAGCTGCTTTCAGAGGTAAATTCTGTGTAAAATCTTATACCTCCGCTGGCATCAGTGCACAACTTACATAAGCCAAGAATCTGCTCTGTTCTGTGTTCTCTTAAGTAAGATGATTTGACCACCTTACCCATCTTACAGTATAAGCTGATATTTTCCCCACTTTACATACAGAAAGGTAGCTCCTTACTTAACTTGGTATAATGATATGCTATTGAAAAAATATATATATTAAATATATTAACTGAACTGTTGCAGTTATTTCTGTAAGCTTGATCTGAAGTACAATAGATAACATGGAACTTTGTGAAAACGTCAGTCAGAAATTTTAATGAAGTGTTCAAAGAGGAATGCCAGTATGTTGAAGGGGCCAAGTAGTCACATTCAACTTTTGGCCAAACACAGGTCTGTTGTCTCAATAGAAAAATATTTTGAAGAGAGAAATATTTGAGAACCTTCCTTTTTCTTGTACACATAAGAATTTGCAGGTTCTGTCTAGAAGTTCATTACTGTTTTGCACCTTTGATGTCCCTTTATAGCTGTGCAAACTGACGTTTGGTATTTGCACAGACACTCTCATTGAGTTCACGTGGTGATGCACAGAACACTCGTGTAAAGGTGTTTTCTGTATGCAGCAGTTGCAATATATTTTAAATCATTCACTATTTGAAACCAGTAATGACTCCTATGACTTTGTGGCCTGATAGCTTCACAGGAGTAGTTCCCTTTATGGAAAAAAAAACCCCAAACATATGTCCCAGAACCATCCTAATGTCAGTAGTGCTGACAAAGAAAAATAAAGTACTGTGCAAGTCAGAACTATTAAAATCAGTGATGTTGTATTCATGTTCATTCAAACCCAGGAAATGGGAACTCAATTGGCAGAAATGAAATTCCTCTGAAAATTCTAAAACGTGGATAATGTCCTAATACCTTTGGAAGATGACAGTAAACTTCCATATCTTAGCAGAGAACCTGGTGTGAATTTAGTTGTAATTTTTGAAGAATTTATTTTTGCAGTAGGAAAACCACATTATGCATAGAAGAGCATATTAAAAACTCAATGGGTTTTGCTTGCATTATTTTCAAAATATTCTTTTAAAGGCATTTTAAAACTAAAATATTTTAAATAATGTTTAAACATTTCCTGCAGAGTGGGAAAGGGAAGAATATGACAGAATGAAAAAAGAAAGCAGCTTTTCATTGGATAAAGAAGAGAAAACCAAGATGGAGACAGAAATCCACAAACCTGAAGTAGAGAGAGAAAGCACTGAAATGCTGGAAGAGCAGCGAAAAAGAGAGTTCCTGCTTGCTAAAATGCAAGAAATTGATAGAGAAACTCAAAATGTAACGAACATGAAACCTGCTTCCCAAGCACCACTCATAAATACAGCAAGAAAATCTGATTCCGTGGAGAAAAAAGAAAAAACTAATCAATTCTTTGAGATTCCTGGGAAGGTTACTAATGGATTTCCTGTAGATGACAGCCAGGGTGATGCCACAAGAGCACAAGGGCAGAAGCAACGAAATCTAAGGACTGTAGATTTAAGTAGTGAGTTAACATTTGGTAGTTATGTACCTTCCTTTGGGAAAGGATCAGGGAGACCGAGTTGGCTTACTCAAAAAAGTGTCAACTTAGAAGAAAATGTTAAGGAAAATGCAGATTTCAATAGTAAGAAAGAAAAGAAGTCCAGTTTAATGGAACAACTCTTTGGAAGCAGTGCCAGTACCATTCTTCTTTCTAAAAATAACGATACAACAGCTTTTGACATAGATTGGGACTCTAGTAATACTCTTCTTGTCGATAAGAACAGTAAAGTCAAAGTAAAAGAAAACAATGAGCTTTTTGGTGAAGGAAGAAACCTAAACAGACACCGTTTGCAACACACTACAAGCAAGCCAGGAGTTAAGACCCTTGGTTCTTTAGAAGATGATATTAAAGAAGTAATCTTACAATGATCATATTTTTATACGTTTCATATGTAAATACTGAAAAATATTTTCATGTAATATTTATTAGATACAGATTTGAAACACTTCAGATATATTGTAAAGCCTTATGAAGGAATAATTCACAGAAATGGGTATATGTATAGAGGAAGGATGCACTTTGATAGAACAGCCTAACATATGCAGGAAATTTCTTCTGAAATGTAATATCCAAATACAGACCTTGGAGGTCTGTCAGTGACTCTTTTGGCAGAAAGACGGGGAAGGTGTCCTGAGGGACTTTGACAGATGAGATAGGCGCTGGCTGGCCACTTCAGTCAATCAGAGAAGATGCTTTTGCCCCAACTTGGGCTCCAGACCACCTGTCGCTGTTGCCGCGTGGCACCATCTGAGTTGCGCAGCTGTGGCTTGGGGGCCGAGAGGCTCGGTAGTGCAGAGCTGGCAGGGATGCCATAGGAATGGAAGGACTTGCAGAGGCTTACACTCACTTGTGCCCTTTGCTCACGCTCTCTCACACCATTCATGCTCCCTCTCACTCTTGCTCTCTTGTGTGCTCGCTCTCTTCCCCCTCATCCTTCTCTCTGTCTCACTCTT